CTGAATGGCAATGCCGGCGAGCTGGAGCAGCAGCAGCAGGAGGCTGGCCACGATGAGGTGGATCAGGGCGTGCTGGTGACAGCACAGCCGGCGTCGGTTACATCGCTGCTGGTGCCCATCGAGGAGCAATCGCCATCGAACACGCCCTCGCTGGCGTCCAGCGTCAATAGCCACAGCAGCAGCCACAAGGAGGAGAGCTTGGACGAGCACCATTCGGATGACTCGGGCATCTCGGCGTCCTCACAGAAGACCATCAACAACGACAACAACAAGTCGGAGGGCAAGGCTGGCCTGAAGCTGAACCTGGCCGGCAGGCAGGAGTCGCGCTACATTGGCCCCAATTGCTACAACATGACGCCAGAGCCGCCGCAGCAGAAGCTGTTGACCCGGACACCGGGAACGCCGCAGCTGCAGCCACAGAAGCGCCAGTTCGCCTTCAATGGCTCCACAAAGGGCGTGATGCAGCGCTTCATTGCCTCGCACGGAAAGCTCCAGCTGGGCCAGTCCGCTGGGCAGCCCTTGCTCTTGGCCAACGGCAACAGTCCGACCCTCAAGCTGAACTCGCGCAATGCATTGGCCTTCTTGGAATCGGGCCAGACCTCTCCCCTGGGCATCARCCTGGCCAACAACAACAACATCAACGGCACTACCAACACCAATGGCAACATCAGCAACGGCAACATCAGCATCAGCAGCAATAGCAACATCGAGCGGGACTCGGAGGGCAGGCCACTGAGACGAGGCTATGTGCCCGTCGAGCAGAAGATCCAGCGTGAGCTGCAGGACCTCAAAAGCCGCGAGACAGAGCTGAAGCGTCTGCGCAAGCTCAATCGTCAGCATATGCTAGAGAAGCTGTAAGTCTGCTGGAGCGGATGCCTAAGGTTAACAGAGCCCCTCTAATCCATTCTCTTTGTAATGCCAGGCAACTGAGCACAGACGACGAGGCCGATGCCGATGACGATGAAGACGACTCCGAGGTGGAGCACTGCTATGGGCCCGGCAAATTGCGCAATGCGCAATCCACACTTGAGCTGGAAAGAGATAGGTGAGCACAGGGTGCCCAATCAAGGGGGATAGATCGATAGGGGGAAGAGAGTGTAAAGTGATTAAGTGAAGTTTAGCAAATGAAAAGAGGGTAGCTAGACCGCTCGATATGAATGTAGGAAAGGAATAGAGCGAGAGGCTCATTATTAAAACAAATAAGGAATAGAAAGCTTTCAAGGATTTTGGATAAGCAATCACTTTAGCTGCAAAGGAGAGTTACTTTAGCTTTCAGTTGAACTGGCGGTTAAGGCCAATTAATACATATACTAACATCCCATTATGTCTTCTTCTCCCTCGCACTTTAGCAACGATCTGGAGCTAATGGGCCACAAGTCGGCGGGCAATCGCAGCCTTAACGCCGCCACAGCTCTATCGAATGGTGGCGGCAGTAACCATGTTCTGAGCACATCCGGTTCCAATTCGGGCATGCGTCCGGCCATGTCGCTGGCCCAGCTCTGTGATCTTACGCCGGAGGAGGCGCCCTCGTCGCATCGCCTGATCGCGCAGTGGGAGAGTTTGATCAAGAAGAACGCTGAGGGTATTGAGGCGGCCGTCTAGGCCACACCCAAGCAGAGCACACCAAATTATTATTTTAAATGTCCCAAGCACTAAGCACAGGAAGTCCAAATTCCTGCAAGTCTTCAAAATTATCAATTTTTTTTTTGTTTTTGTATAGCCAAGATGGGCTAATATATGATATATATATAAATATATATAATAATGTCGAGTATAGGACATGGAGTTGGGTGGGGGCTCCATGCCTATACAATCAACGAATTAGTATTTTTTATTAATGAAAAGAAGAGAAAGGAAAGGCATGTACTTATCTAATGTGTAAAGAGCAAGAAATACGAATAGGTTCTTGAGGTCTGTTGTAAATAATTCTTCGTGCAAGTTTCAAGTGCAAGTTTCACCAAGTCTATATAATTTATTGAATATAACCTTACGTACTTATACACAAATATACACCTACCTGTCTGTAGGCATATACCATAACATACTATGCTAAAACATACACATACGTACTTACGATATGCGCTATCAAAACGATTTAATAAAACGTTTATGCAAACCGAATTTATTCTCTGCTTTATTGGGGTGGGTCTTACTGAAAAGATGCTTAAGCTGGCTTTACTTATACAAATATAAGACCTAGCCAAGTCTTGGGAAAAGTCATTCGAGACTTATTAGGGATGCATCGGGGATCATCGATCATACAAGTCGGACAGCCTTAGCCCAGTTGCTTGTCAAGGTTGACGTATCAGATGCTGTCAAGGTTATCTCATGGATGGATCTCCTATCACGTTTATTGACATAGACCATAGACGTCTATAGGTCATCAACCCGAGATGTGTGAGCTGTCTGTATCAGAGTAAAGTAACTCTCTCTTCCCCACCATAAAATATAATGCATATTTGTTTAATTTTTTTCAAGTTTTTTTTATTATTTTTCGTTTTTTTTTTATTTATTTATTAAATACATTTCGTTTTGTTTTTGTTTTCGGTTGATGTTTATTAAATTTGTATTTTTGCATTTGTTGCTGTTCATTGTTTTCATCTCTCATTAATATTTCCTGTTGTTGTTTATCATTTATAATTGTGTTGTTTTTGGTGTTCGGTTTTATAGTTTGACACATGTGCAGGACAGTAAGATAAAGTCACAGAGTTAGATAGGGAGAAAAGGAGAGGGAGGGAGAGAGATAGAGTATGAGTAAGAGAGAAAGAGATCTGTCATCTGATATCTTTAGAGTCGTCCATAGAGACGCGCTCTCATTTTCCTTCTCTCTTTCTCTTCTTCTCTCTCACCCTCTCACTCTCTCTTCCTCTCCCTCTCTACTGCTGTATCCTCTATTTTACTGCCTACTCCTGCTGGAAGCCTCAACATAATATTCTTTGCTATACTTAAGTTTTTTTGCTTTTTTATTTTGAGTTGAATTTGATGCATGGAGATATGGAAGTCTTATGCTTAAAATTGTATTGCAAATCAAATCAAATACTCTTGGTTTTCGTATAGCTTGTATATATGTGTATATATATGTGTATGTATGTGTGTGTTTGTGTGTGTTAGATATAGATAAATATATTTACAACTTCGCAGCTGGATCAAGCTTAACTCAATAGATGTATATAATATATATACTCGATGTGGCTCTCATTTCTAACTGGAGATAGTGTTGCATAACGTAAAAGCAGTGTGGTAAAACGCATAGAGAGTAAGGTAGGGTAAAATGGTCTGCGTATTGCACAGCGTTGACAGACTTACAAATTAGACAACAAATAACAAAAATCTCTAGTTATAAAAATATATCGAATAATGACAATCATAATGACAATGAGAATGATAATAATAATGATAATACATACTTAAATACTTTTTGGCACACATAAAAAACATAATTTGCATTCGAAACTAAACTCATTTATTGCACATATAGATAGATAATGCTGTCAGATCTGAAACTATCCAACTCTTTCATTTGTGTTCTCTTTTCTCTTCTTCGTTTTCATTTGCTCTGGAACCAAAAAACCATTGACTGCTCGTAATATTGTGTTAGATATATATTATCATATATATGTAGTATATATAGATCTATATATAATGCTTAATTAGCCCGTGCTTGACTCTACATATAGAGAGTGAGACTGAAAGTGAGAGAGAGTTATTAGAAACTAACACTTAAAACCGTAAGTTTTTCATATGCGTTGCTATATCCTTGCCATACGATATTGATATCGATAACGATAACGATAACGCCCTAGTCGATAGACTTCATTCTACTCATATTCAATAATCGAAAACGCTTTGAGCGCTCTACGTTTGCATGCCTGGCCTAAAACTAGAAAAAAAAATAGATGTATATATGAAGTTATTACGCCTTCTAGATAAGTTACGATAAATCTAACTATCGATAACATTAATCGATATACCCATGTATATATATATATATTAGTTTCGAACATAAAATTAATTAACAAATTGTTAGCTTCTTCCTTCATTTCGAGTCGACAACGAACAAAGCGCAAAAAAAGCGAACATCGTGTAAACGTGCCGTGTGAACGAGGCTTTAAATGTGAGTTGTGAGTCATGATCACTGAGTGTGTATGTGTGTTTTGGTTTGTTGTATTAGTGTAATCTACATAGTATTCTTAGACTTTGCAAGTATTTAATATACGCGTGATAATCGCTATTTACGAATAGATATCAAATTGTTATCGTGGTTTACGAATACA